AGGAGAACTTTGTCTATGTAACGCTAGCAACTTCATCGGAGATAAAAAAAAATTAACATGAAATGTGGCCATAACAACACACCACGACCTGCCTTAGGTCTTTCCGCAGACTTGGTAGGTAGTGTGTCCATAGCAGAAATCGAATGATGATGATGATGACAATAATAATAATAATAATAAGCTTATATTATCTCAGGATATCCGAAATTAGCAAAGAATGAATATACCCACAGGCATGACAAGTTAGCTACATATGTGAACTGGAAAATATACAAAAAGCACCAAATTGCGACAACTGAGAGATGATATCAGCACTAACCAGGCACAGTTACCCAAAATGACGATGTAAATTATCCTCTGGGAAATGCCATTTCAAATTGACAAGGAAACAAAGGCCAACAGACCTGATATTATCATAAAAGACAAGAAATTCAAGTGTACGCTTATTGACACAGCAGTTTCATCTGAGAGAAACATCTCCACGAACATTATCGAGATATTTTCCAAATACAAGAACCTGGAGATCGAGATTAACAGAATGTGGGGAGTGAAGACTGAGACTGTACCAACAGTAATCGGAGCACTGGGTCCCGTTAGAAAAGGAGTGGACAGTTTTAGAAAGAGCGTCTCGGGTAGCATCAACATAGAAGTTTCCCAGAAGATCGCCATAGTAGAAACTTTCAAATATACTAAGTGATATAATGAAATATGCGTACACCTGTGTTCCCCTGGAATATGATTGTCTGGTGTCCGTCATAAATACCGACGGACGTGTAGGTACGAAAGTCAGAAGATCCTTAGTCTGAGAGCTAAGTCTATAACGACGCCCATTGGACTACGCCATTGATCTACACTTCTTACCTGCGACTACGACGCGTACCAGTCGATTTGTGCTACCATATTCTACTTGGTTATAGTAGACAAAACCACTTAGCTACTTTCTTCAAATATATCCCTTTCCGGGATATATCACTAATAAAAGTGCTATCAATTAAATGACAATTCTCTTATAGAGCCTAAAGACCAAAGGTTGGCTTCCGTACTGCAAGAAACAAAGAAGGAAATATAACATAAACAAATAGTAATAAACAAATAATAATAATAATAATAATAATAATAATATTAATAATAATAATAATAAATGTGAACGTTTTTAACAAGTTCAAACCATCTTAATTTTAGTTATTTTTCATCACGTACGTTTGTGTCTACCACACACGTCTTTAACAGCAAAGATCTGAACTCAACAGCAAAATTATGGACAATAACGTTGTTGCCATTTCAAGTTTGCTATATAGCTGTGAAAAGCGTAGACTCTATATCGTCGCGACATCCAAATATTTGATCGCTTTCACCAGCAAAACTTTATTTCATTTTGAGCAACTATGTAACCAAACAACAAATTCCTGGAAAGCGCCAACAGTCAAAATATCGAATCGCAGATCCTGAAACACTTTGAAGTCACTAGAAGAGAAAAGGAAGAAAGCAAAATGTAAGAGAAAAATGCTCGACAAAATCAACCTCGTCACAGTCAATGCCATCGGCTCTTCTATGCAAGATTTGATCTCCATAGTCATCGACGCCATCGTCATAAAGGAAGCGACCAGAAGAAAAAGTTGAGTTGGTTTGGTTTCTTTTACGGCATGTCAACCTCAATGGGTTTTTTTTTTTAATTTCAAAAATGCATTCCTGGTGATATTTTTTTCCTTCAAAAAATCTATTTCTGGCAATATTTCTTCTTCAAAAGTACCAACAAAATAACACTGAAAGTCACTGGACTTGACTCTAAATCGTTTGAAACACATGCACACGACCGTAACAACTGGCGATGTTCCATCATCATTGGAAGCAAAATCTCTAAAGCCAGCAGAAGACAAAAGGAAGAAGTCAAATGACAAGAGAGAAAGGCTCGACAAAATCAACCTCGCCCTCCATTAACATTACGATGCAATCAATGCTATCGGCTCTTCTATGCAAGAATTGGTTTACATAGTCATCAACGCCATCATCGTAAAGGAAGCGATAAGCAAATAAAAAATTGAATTCTTGGATACGAGATAAGGCCGACGACGAAAATAAAACGAGTGTTATTGGTTTCAAAGACATCCCAATTAAGTAAGTCATTAAACATTACTTTATCATGACCGCTACAGGAGTGTTTTCTCAGATGAAGAAAGGGAGTAGAGGCTCAAATCCTGTCGGGAAGGACATTTTCATTTAGCATGATTTCACGATCTCGGCCAGTTGATATTAATTTAACTGTTTTAAGAAAAGAAAAAAAGAAAACACCAGTTTATAATCGTACTTGTTTTTGCCTCGCTTTCACACCTTATAAATTAAATAGTTTGCTGTCAGTTATGATATCAATAATTACATTCTCATAAAACTGAAACTTAGGGTTCAGCTCTATGTCGAAACACAAGTAGAAATTAGAACGTAATGGCGTGCCGATTGGATTGCGGAAGCGGCGAGCCGAGTTCGAATTCCAGTTCAGTTCTTTACATTCACTTATGCGCTAATAAACATGGGAAAAGTATGTATCCACTTCTTCTCATTCTCACATATTGATAAATAGCCTTAGGTGACAACCGGCTTAGGAGAAGGAAAACTCTGAATTCAGAACTGTATGTATGCCTGGAAAAAACCATAATATGCGGATATGGAAAGGATAGTTTGCATTGATTCGGTGATCACAACTACGGTAAAGTCCTTTTTATATTTTTTTATTAATTAGATGTTGATTTAGAGTAGGAACGGTAGATTAATGGGTTCAGGCTCGGATTGAGGAATCGGAGTGCAGTGTTCGAATTCCAGTCGAGTCCATTAAATTCACTTACGTGCTTGTGATAGGCATGAGTCCAATTCATCTTCCCCAGCTATGGGTAATTAGGACAGATTTGGATAGTCTTGGATGGCAACCGGTCTTGGATGAAGAAAACGGAATTCAAAACTGTATGTAACCCTGGCGAAACACATACTATGCAGCTAAGGAAAGGGCCGTTAACTCAATGATCTCGACTACGGTCGATTCCTTGTAGAAATATCATTTGGGTTCATTAAGGACTGTAATCCAAGTTCAAATAAAGACCTGAAAGCATCTTCATGCTGAAAAAAGGTACAAAATGCAAAGTTATAAGCCTCTTGATGAAACGTAGTTTTAAATGTTGGAAGATAAATTAAAATTGCACAAAATAAAATTTTTCGTACGTGTTTCTCTGTGTGTGTTTTCTCTCACACACACACACACACACACACACACACACACACACACACACACACACACACAGAGTCTTGGATGGTAACCAGCCTAGGAGAAAGAAAACTGAGTTCAAAACTATACAGTTAAGGAATGAGTCATTCTTATTGACTCGATGATCTTAACTATGGTCGACTGATCAGCTTGAAATTTATCTGAAAATATCCGATCTATGTATTTAACGGATAAATATTGAAAAAGGGTGAGATTATGTTGAAAAAGAAGTGATTATATCACGTAAAATAAAATCTTATAATCCTGTCACCAGCTATAGTTTAACGGTTTGAAATTAGTCACGGTGACCTGGTGATAAGGAAAAAAAGAAAAAAAAAATTATACCATATTTCATCTTGTGGTTCCTTGCCTTCTAAAAATGTCTCCTTCTCGCATAATCTTCTCATGTCATTTTCAACAACCATCGATAGAGTTTCATCTCTGTAAGTATTTTCATCACCTATGACGACATTGTTAAACATTCAATATAGGTGATGTATTTATCCTTAATACAAATAGGACGATAGTGTTGTAAAAGCTTCTGATAGGCGAGCATTCTTCAAAATCAGCTTCTGATATCCTGTTTTTAGATGGTCTTGAACTTCACACTATGGCGGGCGTGAAAGACACGTGACTATCTCAGTAGGAAAAATGGCATCTAAATCTCCTTCATCTTCTTTTCGTTATTTGTTTAAATTGTTTGATATTTTACGGCTTATAAAAATTTTCATGTTATTTAAAGCCATATCATGTTTTTAAACAGTAAGAATGATTTTCAGTTTATAATGATTTTTACTGATAAAAGTTCTACTAATTAACCCATAGGTAGGAAGGAGAAGAGGTGGATTGAAAACTTACACAAGAATATTAATGTGTAAATGATCATAACACACCAGATCTCACATTTTCAATTCCAAACCTTACAACACTTGTTATTCTCAAGCGGTATCCATCTAGATACTGACCTTGTTCAACGTTGCTTAAATTTGGTGTTTGTATGAAAACAGGTCTTTTAACAGGATATGCCTATAAGCCCGCTATTTTCTTCTTATCTCTGCTTAAAAGTCGTTAAATAACTACTTTCCTTTCTTCTTTTTCTCTATCTTTTATTCTCTTTATTAAAGAATTCACGTTTTTTTTTCCTCCCTCCGAACACTGATCAGTAATATCATCAAAGAAAATATAATAAAGAACACCGCTTTTCTATCTGCGTGGCTGTGTTTTTAGAAGTGGGTGCTATGTTTCATTTTTCATGATGGCTCTTCCCCTTGACATTTTAAACAAATGATGATAGATTTTCATTACCCGACTCTTCGTAAACACACAAAGCGTGACATCATAACATTCAACACCAACCCACAACTCATTTACTTGTTCATGACAAGTTCGCAGTCCTACAATTTTGTACAAGTTCCGTTCTAACTTTTTACTTTCATTTTCATCTTTTTTGTTCAGCACTCTATTGGGCACTGATTCGTTGACGCTGTCATTCTTTTTAATTTCATTTATTCTTGGAGCTCCTAATTTCTTTCTTTTCTTTTTTTTTTTTTAAATGTCTTTCTTTTTTTTGTTTTTAAATTTCTTTCTTTTCTTTTCTTTTTTGAATTTCTTTCAGCATTTTCCTTTCATTGAGCGTTCGCGAGTGATTTCGTTTTATTTTGTTATTTCTCTCACTCTCACTCTGTTCTGTTCAGTAGTTTCTTTCACTGATCGAGCCTTTATCGATCTACTCATTTTTTTTTGCTTATCAATGGTTTCTTTCTTTTTTTCGTTTTTTTTTTCATTTGTTCTTTCTTTCTTTATTTCTTTCATTCATTGTTTATGTTCTTTTTTCTCTCTTTATTCATTTATCCATTTCTTTCTTTCTTTCTTTTTTCTTTCTTTTTCTTTCTTTCTTTCTTTCTTTTTTTTCTTTCTTTCTTTGTCCATCTTCCTTTTTCTGTCTTTCTTCACTTTTCAATTTTTTCTTTCTTTCTTATTTCTATCTTTCTTTCTTTGCCCATTTTCTTTTTTATATCTTTACTCTTTTTTCCAATGTTTTCTTTCTTTGTTTTCTTTCTTTTTTCTTTCTTCCTTTAAATTGGTTCTTTCTTTCTTTCTACATGTTCTTTTATCTCTTTCTACTTTTTTCAACTTTTCCTTTTTCTTTCTTTCTTTCTTTCTTTCTTTCTTTCTGTCTTTTTCTTGGTTCTTTCTTTCTTTTTTCTTTCTTTCTACATGTTCATTTATATCTTTCTTCTTTTTTCCAACTTTTCCTTTTTCTTTCTTTCTGTCTTTCTTTCTTTCTTTTTTTCTTTCTTTCTTTTTCTTGGTTCTTTCTTTCTTTCTTTTTTCTTTCTTTCTACATGTTCATTTATCTCTTTCTTCTTTTTTTCCAATTTTCCTTTTTCTTTCTTTCTTTCTTAGTCTTTGTCTTTGTTTTTCTATTTCTCTCTTGCTTTTGTTCTTTCATAATTCAATAACGTTTCCTCGCTTAATTCTGTTCTTGCATTTTCTCTCTATTCTTTAATTCCCGTACGAGTGTGGGTATATACATATATCTACACATACATCTCTGTGTATATGTGTATGTTTTATTTTCCTTTCAACATCTATTGAATGGATTACTAATTCTTTTTTCTTTCTTTCTTTTCTTTCTTCTATCAATTATTCTTCGTGATCTTATTTCCATGTTATAACTAATAAAATAACTTTTATATATTCATTCTCTTATTCTTTGTTTCACCCTATCTTATCCCCGTTTCTTCGTTATTACCTTATTTTTAGTTTAATCCTCTCCTATTTAATTTTTCTTTCTTTTTTTCTTTCTTTCATCTCATCATATCTTCCCGCCACTTCCCATCATACATTGGCTCCCTGTACTTCCTCTTTTATGTGAATTATTTTTATGCATTTTTACTATGTTTATTTGAATTATTTTTTCTAGTCTTTCGCATTGTCTAACAAAACGCCCAAGGTTCCTTAACGCTCGCCAAATCCCACGGCAGTGTCCTCGCCTGAATTTACGAACTGGTGTTATTTAACTGCGCTGTTTGCGAAAAGGCAATAAAGCTTTGAGTAAGGGGGTTTGTTTGCGCAACGCACTGATAGCATTTCTGCGGAGTAATTTGCTTTCAGGTCGCTTTATGAAAATGAAAACGCCGAGAGAAGCGTAACTGCTAATACACCGTATAAAACATCCCGCCCTATATTAGACCTCATAGCCTTGGTATAAGTTGCAAATCATATAAATTGAAGAGTTTGAGTCTCTTAACATCTTAGACTCGACTGGTTGTATAAGGGTTCCTAGTTTTATTACTATAGCTACCGACTGGCATGATGATTGCCTGAAAGCGCATGAAACTGGAAGTTTTGGGCGATCACTGCTCACCTGAGATTTAATTCTTTTATACATACATACATACATACATACATATATATATATATATATATATATATATATATATATATATATATACACACACTTTTCAAACACACACTCTCTCTCTCTCACACACACACACACACACACATATATATATATATATATATATATATATATATAGCGTCCTGTACTTTTCCTGTAACATCTTTCATGGTAATTGTTCTAATAAACTTACTGGTATAGTACATAGACTATGAATTTAAGCACAGTACTAGATTTGCAACAAGCTCTCATCAATTTGCAGTCCGATTGGCTAGATGCAACCGTAAGTTCTATGCTAAGACTTTCTTCTCTCCCACATCTTGCTTATAGAACTTTCTTCTCGTTTCATGCTTTCCAGTCAACTTTGATTTTTAAAAATGTAAATGCAATGTCAGTTGTTATCTACTGTCTTCTTGATTAAGATTCTTTTACTGTTCTCGCTACTTAATAATGTTTCTCTCTTTTTCTTATTCTTTCACACTCGGTAACCCATTGTGTCTTAGTGGCTTTACTGCCTTCTTGTGGTGAAATGATTATAAAAATATATGATTTTTATAATCCTTTTATGCATATGACGGTGAATATTTTAAGTACTATTAAAAAAGAGTATTTTAATGCACGTAAAAATAACATTAACAGTCCGTATCACGCAGTAGGATTTTAAAAGTGGGCGTTTGCTTCCAATGGATGCTTACGTACTCTATCGTTCTTTATGTTTCTCAAAACGAAAGTGTTATTTTACCAACAGTTCGGATTATAGCATTCGATTCATTTAATCCATTCACGTTCTTGAATTCTTTGATTTTTCAACTACTTCTTATTTTTATGGGGCAGGGGGATGTCACGTGATCTAAAAGACCGCATCTACGAACACTACAGAGATTTACGTTTGGACTAACTTTCTGACTATTATGACACAGGAACGATGCTGGTCATAATTTTGATTTTAATAATGCCAGCCTAATTAAAAAAAAAAAAAAAAAGAAGCACGTAATTCTTTGAAGGGAAAAATACTTTGATCGTTTAATAATAACGTTGTTACCAACTATAAACACGTGCCAACTTTCTTTGAATACATTCTTAAAGAATCTAACTTATATCTCTCGACAAACAGTGCGTACATAAAAACAGATTAACAGAATACCACACAACTACGCCAACTGGACACACAAAGTGAAAACATTAGAACTCCCCCTACAAGACAGACACACAATTACGAATACCCATTACAATCCAATGACGCTTAGACATATTACCATTTTTACAAATTTACATACGCATAGAATTTTCTACGGTTTGATGCACGTGATACAAAACTGACCAATGTGAATTGATCGAAACAAAACTAAAAATACTAAATATGTCCCCCTTTTTGTCTCTTAATATACTATTTGAACATTATCTTATTATATGTATATGATTGGGGTATACGGAATAAATTCCAATAACTAACAATTACTATCCTTAAAAGAGTGCTCAATATACAGAGTAGAACGAATATAATTATTTGTTAAAAATTATAACATAAATATGTTATAAAATCACTACAAAAATAGCCATTTTGTTTCAACACCTCTGGTGTCTTATCAAGTGATGATGTTGAATGTAGATTCTACATTTATATGTAGTGATTTTATAACACATGTTATAATTTTTAATAAATAATTATATTCGCTCTACTCTGTATATTGAGTACTCTTTTTAAGGATAGTAATTGTTGGTTATTGGAATTTTACACACACACACACACACATATATATATATATATATATATATATATATATATATATATATATATATTATCTAACATATGATTTAACAAGAACAAATTCTTTTTATATCACAAGAACAAAAAAGTGAAATAAAATTATTTTATGATGACTCCGAAGTAGAAATGATTCTAAAAGTTCTGCATATTTACACTTCTCTCGCTTTCGAATCCAACCATAGTGACACACACACACATACATACATACACTCGCACACACGTACGCCCACACACAAATATATATACATATATTAATAAATGTATGTTATTAGGATGTAATATATTATCCGAACAAAGTGGAGATAATTTCACTAAATAGAAAATCTGTCCAGAAAACGCGTTTTGGCTCTTGATCGCAGGAGCCATCGAGATTTTTTTTTTTATAGAAAAATTTAAACTTTGAGAATGAGGTAATAAATATATTTCTTTGCCGCATTGAAGCCGTGAACATTGCTCGATTTTATATTAAACCACCTTAAATCGATCTATGCTTCATTTTTGCCTATCTTCAAAACGGAATACGAACTGAGAACAAAGTCCAAATAAGTAGAAAGCAAAGGTGTCTTTAAGTCTGTCTAGTTTCTTTTAGTTTCTTGCAACGGTGCAGAAATGCTGGGTGGCTTCATCAGTAGTTATTGCATTAAAATTTTGGCAAAATTCCAAATGTCGCTTTTATTCCACCAAGTGAGGGACATTGTTCTTTTTTTAGACCCTCGTCATGTAAAAAATGGTGCATAACGTGTTATGAATGAATCCACACTGTATCTAGTGTCTCTCATGATTTTTGCACTCGGTCCTATTTAGGTAGACGTAACAACATTAATTACCGTTTAAATCAAATTTGGTGGCATCATGTTATATGATATTCATCGAAATTTACATCACGAACCGTAAGAACATCACTCTCTCTCTCTCTCTCTCTTTATATATATATATATATATATATATATATATATATATATATATATATATATATTAGGAAAATCTATGACAAAGTATATATATATATATATATATATATATATATATATATATATATATATGGACACACTCAAACATATATATATATATATGTTAGGAAAATCTATGACAAATATATATACATATGTCTGCATACATCGATGTTTGCGTTAGTACGATGAATGACAAAACGACGAAATTTCCCCACCACTTCCACTAATAACACCAATACACGTAATCTACATAAACCCAAATTTTTAAAACATTAATCAGTTTGTCTGACGATCGCTAAAGCGTGAAACCCAGGGTCACAAACTCACATCTATCAACCAAATATATATATATATATATATATATATATATATATATATGTTAGGAAAAATCTATGACAAAGTATATATATATATATATATATATATATATATATATATACATAAATACACACACACATACACACACACACACATATATATATATATATATATATATATATATATATATATAAAACAGGTCACAATCTTTAAGACTGACAAACAAATCACAAATAAAAAGGAAAAAAAAATAATCTATATTTTATTTAGAGAGTGTGAAAATAAAGAGAGTGTTGACCTCTTTTAATATACTGACCTCAGTATGTCAGAATTATTACATATGGGATTTTATGTGTTTGACATTCTTTAATTAATAATAATTTGCACTCCATGGATCTATATCTTTCAGGAAATATTGTATTATTGCAAGATATATATATATATATATATATATATATATATATATATATATATATATATATATATATAGTTCTCTGGATAGGGAACAGTAGTAAATGCGTGTACAACAGAAATCAAAAGAAATAATAAACACAATAACCGTTTTCTTTTTCGTGGGGTCGCGTTCCCAATAACCGTCTTACATGATGGTCACATTAAACTATTTAAGAATTTCGGCTTTCGAAAGAATGCCAGGAAGTTCAACAAAGGAATCCTGCATACTACACAGACATTATATTGGTTCTTAAAAACGACAGAGACAGTCGAGTATACCAAAGACCACGATGCAACATGCACTCCGGACAATTTATTCAAAACTCCGATCACAATTTTCAATGCCATCTTCTAAAATAAGAAATATAAAAAAATATATATATATGTAGAAATATAGTTTGATACTGTGCTATATTTATGGGATAAAGTGCTCAATATCAGAGATAGAGCGTATGTAAATATAAATATTTATATTTACATATATATATTCTGATATTGACACTACTATCCATGAAACAAAACATATTATATATATATATATATATATGTGTGTGTGTGTGTGTGTGTGTGTGTGTGTGTGTGTGTGTGTGTGTGTGTGTGTGTGTGTGTTA